TATAGTGTAGTAGTGCTGGAGCCTGTCGCCAGGTAAAGGGAGGTGTGTACCGCCACTACTCAACACGCTTCTGTAGTGTATAGTGTATATTAATGTATAGTAGTATATAGTGTAGTATATAGTGTAGTGTATAGTGTAGTGTATAGTGTAGTAGTGCTGGAGCCTGTCGCCAGGCAAAGGGGGGTGTGTACCGCCACTACTCAACACGCTGCTGTAGTGTATAGTGTATATTAATGTATAGTAGTATATAGTGTAGTATATAGTGTAGTGTATAGTGTAGTGTATAGTGTAGTAGTGCTGGAGTCTGTCGCCAGGCAAAGGGAGGTGTGTACCGCCACTACTCAACACGCTGCTGTCGCCGCCGCGACTCCGGCCAGGACAAGCGGACTGAGAAACGAACCAAGGAACTTACAGTCGACCCGTTTATACATTTTGGTATCTATATTTAAGGGAAATTTGTGAATACGTGTGGCTGTTCGAAATGTTTAGCATACTTCTCGACATGCAACAAACTTGAAATTTGGCATGCGGATAGCTTCCAGACTGTACACAATGCTAAAAGTATAAAAATTACTTTTGTATTTTTTTTTGGGGGGGGGGGGCGCAATAATAGATATATTTTTCACAACAAGTGAGCGGTGACGTCACATCTGTGATGTCACCCGCATGCGGCAGCGTCACGCAGTGTGCCTGCCGTTAGAAAGAACGCGAATGCAATCAGGGAAAGTGTTGCGGCGAGCGCTTCCCCAGAGTTCCAGAATGAGAACAGCGGTGCTGCGTTTGTTATCAAACAGCCTGCATCTCCCTAGGAATCAGCCTCCTGAATTCATCATCACCATCACCACCACCACCACACCTCCATCGTCGTGAAATCATCGTCAAAGGTAATACAAAAAAAAACATTGTTCAGAATAACGTATTTATTGGAGTCGTTATTATTAAACATTTAACATCCCCCCCCCCCCACTATGTTGTTCACTCGTACCAGGAACGTAACCGGTTTTTTTTTCTCTCCCCATCCCAACCAAGGTTTCTGCATTCGGGAAATTCTGCTGGTATTCGTCACGTCTTCTGACCGTGCGGCGGAGTGCGGCGCATCTCGTCAAAACTTTACCGCTGCAATCATTTAGGGGGAGCGGGAAGCGCGCTTCTCGCGGGAACGCATCTACTCCTGCCGCGTTCGTTAAGCGAGGACTCGCTGAAGTGCCATTCTCCTGGCGAGGCAGGGCATTTTGACCTCTTGACCGCCGCGGGAAGGGAGTTCTCGTCCACCAACCATCACCGCCGCAGTGCCGCAGGCGTGAGCAGCCAGCAGCGCCTAAACCCAGGTCGTGGGTTTGGGTGTTAGCTATCGGACGTCTGTGATTAAACCGAGATTTCCTTCTTTCGTACAATCACATGTAGACCCACGGAACTTGCATTGAGACTCGCTGAATGAATTTGTAATGGTACTATGATCAGTCTACAAACTCACGCTGCAGGGAGTGTATTACTTCACGTTGATTTATGATCGTGCGATATATTTTCGATCTCCCGTGCGATGGCACGGTGGTTGTTTTGCAGTGTTGGTGTCTATTTGCTTCACCGCCCCGTTTCGCTTTGACATTTTTAGAGATTCCCCCCCCCCCTCTCCCCAGCCACACGGTATGCAGATGAGACGCTCGCCCCCCCCCCCCCGGTTGAGGAACTCCCCACTGGTGCCCCCCAGGTTGAGAAACTCCCCACTGGTGCCCCCCCAGGTTGTGTCGATATTTACCCTCCCACAGGTAAACTTTAAATTCTGGTAAATTTACTTTTATCCAAATCTCATCCTATTATAGTCTTGGTGCTTTCGGTAGATAGAAAATAAAATAACATTAAAAATAAATTCAAATATATTTGTTATTTTATTTTCTATCTACGTGACATTAGCAAAAGAACCAAAGAATATGAATTCCTGCAGTCACGAAAGTTTAAAGTCAAAATTTAGATCTCTGTTTGACACAGTAGGGGGCAGCACGCTCCATAAAATCCCTGCCACTGGGAGTAATATTCGTGGCACGACAGTCAACCCAATGTTTTAACTCGTCGGCCTGTGACCGACACCTGCAGCACCAAAGCCATGCCTGCACGTGTTTGTACATTCACCTTACACCAATATGGAAGTTCAACCTCTGTAGGCCCCAACCCTTCCTGGCTAGGCCCCGCCCCATCCTCATCAGGACCCACCTCCTTCCGCTTTGAGCCCCGCCCATTATCATGTAGGCCCCCGCCTCTCTCTGTTCGGATCCTGCCCCTTCTTCTGGACAGGGGGCTGGACCGAGTGCAAAGGGGCTATGAAAAGGGGGGTGGGGCGCGGGCCGTGTGTAGAAGGTGGTGGCAGTGGGCGGGGTCAATGGGGGTAGGGGTGGGTGGGGTCAGTAGGTGTGGGTGGGGTCTGTGGTGGTAATGGTGGGTAGGGGGTCATGGATGGTGGAACTCACTGCCGAAGGCTGTCAGGGGAGTCCGGTTTGGTAGGGATCTTCAAGTCCCGCCTCAAAACATTTCTCTTTCACGAGACATTTCCTATTTTAACTCGGCCACTTCGTCACCATCATCGCTGCCAGTGGCAGCGGTCGTGCTGTGGGGGAGATTGCACCCCCCCCCCCCACCCCCGGTCATTCCCACCGCTAACTCGATGTCCAACCCAGGTAAGTTTGCGCGAGGGAGTTGTGGGTGCGCTCCTGCGGAAAGAACGTTCTTCGGGCCCCGCGAGAGATGTCGTTCCCCACCACCACAGGCATCGAAGGAAAGGGGGGGAAAAAAAGCAAAGTAAGGCACGACCCAACGCACGTGGGCAGACGCAAGAAACCGGAGGCCCCCACCCCCGATTGGTCGGTCGGCTTCTGACGAGTGCTCGCGAGGCTCGCGTAGAGGACGCAACGAGGCTCCTGCGGTGCTCCTCGCCTCGTCCTTGCCCCCAAGCTGCGATGGGTTGGCGGCTTTAGCCAGCGGGTGTCTGCCACGCACCCAATCGGGGGCTGGCAGGGGATCCCACGAGGGACGCTCGTTGAAGTGCCAATTGGCCAAAGTGTCAAATGAAAGTGTCAAGTGAAAGTGTAAATTTTATGTGAAAGTGTCAATTGAAAGTGGCAAGTGAAAGGGTACATTTTATGTGAAAGTGTCAATTGAAAGTGTCAAGTGAAAGTGTAAATTTTATGTGAAAGTGTCACTTTAAAGTGTCAATTGGAAGTGAAAGTGCCAATTGGAAGTAAAAGTGTCAAGTGGACAAAGTGTCAATTGGTCCAACGCAGGTTGACCGGATTGCCCTCCAGCTGGGAAAATCGGCTGGTAATAAATATATATATAAAAGTCACAGCCCTGATAATGAGTGACATTGATGAAAAACGAATCACTAAACAATTGTATTTATCAAGTGAAAAGCCTACCGGGCTATCGGCTCTTTTTCAAAGGCAACCTGGCCACACGTGATAGCTCAGCTTGGTGGCTAAGAGCGTCATAATTACAAGTGGGAATTTATAGTAGCAACCAAGTTATCTAGATGCACTTTATAAATGTGGAGGCGGGGAGGGGGGCAGGCAAAACCGGAGAAGCTGGAGAAATATCCACGCAACCACGGTGAGAGAATTAGTGAACTCCAAATGCACAGAAGTCAAGGGACATGATTGAACCCATGAGATCCTGCGTACTGGGCGAGGGATGTAACATCTCACCACCGTGACGAGATGGTAAATACGACACATTCGCCATAACAGTTTGGCGAGAGATGAATATATATTTCTTTGTTACGCACCGCCTGAACCCAGCCGTTAAAATCTAGAAGCTTCTCCAGACCACCAAATGGAGATAGATGAGCATCAAACCACAGTGCCGACGCTTGAGGGCCACTTTGGAGTTGCTGCGGCGAATGCCCGATGCTTGTCGCGCAGACAATTACCGAGCTCCTTCGTCTTCGCTACGTTCCGATGTTGCGCAAAGTGTGTGGGAGTTCGGAAGAGGTTGCCCGAACACTTTGCGGAAGCAGATTCACTGGGGACTCTTCAGAAAACGCCTCGGTGACATTCCCAAATAGATCTGCGACTAACAACGGAATGAGCCAGGTGGACCGACTGGACCCCCCCCCTAATCCATAATATTTGACCTATGCGTTGAAATTTTTTCGCACCGTACGTAGCCAACCGCGCTATGTAACGTTTGTAAAAAAAAAAGTGTAAACAGCTGCTTATGTGATGGACACGATCATGAGCTCCTTTTCCGTCTCTGGCGTGATGCTATGCGTCAAGTGGCTGCTGCATGTTCTGGGTGCCGCTGAAGATGCCCCCGGTATCCCGTGTTGATAAAATGTCGAACGAAAGCCAAGGATTGTGCGCATTCTCTCAGGAGGGAAATGTTCTCGCGAAGCTTGGTGTGGAGAGACACTGCCCGATATCACGATTGCGCTTCGACAGGACCTGCATAGCAATGTTGTAATCAACAACTCTTCTTGAACGGACACACATTGGTATTCTTGTGGCATATTAAGAAAAATATACATTGCAATATATAATCGCACACATTTACAAGTGTGAACCAAAAATGCTGTCAGGTTTGTAGATGGTATGGATCATTGTTAAATAAAAATACTCGCCAGTTTGTGAAATGCCCCTCACGGGGCCTGAGGCGGTTAAACGGCTAAGCCGCACGGCTTGCTTTTGCCAAAACATTTGTTCGGTGTCTACGAGAACACAACCGTGTTATGTCTGCATCTCTCTCTCTCCCCCTCCACTTGTCCCAACAATCACTACATGAAGTACCATAACACTCCGTTGTACCTAATGCGTACATATTAAATCGCTTCTTCAGAGAACCACTCGCAATTACGATCCGATCACTCTCGCTGGTGAACAAACGGTTTCACAAAAGTTATTTTTGTGTTCGTTGGCTGTGGGCTTTTGTTTTTTCTTTAATAAACCTAAGATGGCCACAACATTATGACAACCCCTCCTTTTTGACACTCAAGATTCTATAATATTGACGCAATCTCCAAAAAGTAACCACTCATTTATTTGACAAAATATCAACAAATTTGTACATATTTAAAATAAGTTTTAGTAGTAAAATGTCAGAACTGTTTTAGTTATTCCTTCAAATAAAAATATTAAGACAGACTAGGTAGGTGTTAGCACTGCCGTCTGAACACAGCTCCGCTCGATAGGGAAGAACATTCAAATATCCTACGCCACCATCTCCACACACGTGCGATTGCGAAATAAAACGCTTCTGTTTAAAAAAAGAAAAAAATATTTTCATCAAAAAAAAAACCCTACAAACGTCGCAGTCTAAACGAATTATAATTGAATGCAGACCAAAGCTAAAAATAAGGAACAACTGCCGGCCGGGAGGACACTTTACGGGGGCACGTACGGGGGAGGCGACCTGTACGGGGTCATGTTTTTGGGACGTGGACCCCTGCCCCCCGCTCCTTGCGGGCTGGTGAATGGCGGCGGCGGCTGGTAGGGCGGCGCGTTGGGGTCTTCCTCGCGGAGCGGTGTGCTTTCGCACACGGAGTCGTCGGCGGCGGACACGGCCGCTGACATGCCGGGCCCGGCCATCTGACAGGGGTATTCAGGCGGCGGAAGCGGGGGCTTCTCTTCTGTCAAGATCAGCGGCATGCTGGAGGACGGCACCGGCTTCGTGTCGTCCAGCTCGTCGGCGAAGATGATGGGGACGCCCTTCTTGATGAAGGTCGCCTGGTCCTCTTCAGACAGCTTTCCTTTCCTCTTCTTCCGGTAGCAGATCATGGCGATGACGCCGGCAATGAGCAGGATAGCGGCCACTACGACGGCCGGTATGACGGTGTGAAGATAGACATCGTCTTGACTCGTTCTCTCAGGGCCCTCCAGAGGTGGCGGTGTAGTCGGCTGAGGACGATCCATAGGCGGTCCTTTTCGAACGGGCACGAAACTTATTCCCTCGCAATCTTCCGAGCCGACGATGTTGACAGATACCGGCTTAAACTCTGGACCCATGTTCGCGTCGAAATTTTCGGTCGGCTTCCCATCGTCCGTGCCAATCTTTTTCCCCAGTTGACGGATCTGCTCATCTGGACACGGTTCCAGCGGAAGGGAATTGTTATTCCAAACGATTGTGAACGAACCACTTCTCATGTCGTCTATAGTCAAAGCGCTCACATTCTTGTCGCCCAAGGTATAAGCTAGCTTTTTCACCAACTTAATTTTCATGAGCACGTCGTTGGCAACTTTCTTATAGTCGTTGTTAAACTTTGCTTGGAACTTTGCACTGGACCGCCCATCGTTTGGCTTTTTGTGAACTATTATTTCGAACGCATCTCTCGCAATCTTCCCCCCTTTATCCATTGCCGACATGATGTACTCATGTTTACCAATCAGCTTTTCATTGTCCGGAGGCAATCCAAACAATACCTGACTCGTGCTGTTAAACTGCACCCAAGAGCTCGCGTTGACGAGTTCGTGTTTGCTCGTGCAGAGGACCAACTTAAGCCTGTCGGTCGTGCCATCTTCGTGGTCAAAAAACGTGTCGTAAGGGATCTTCAGTTCAAAGTAAGTTCCGATGTTCACGTCGAGCCTGTCGATGGGGTTCTTCAGCGTGGGTGGCCGGTTCGGATCCGGAATAATTTTCGTGGTTGTCCGAGACGTGGTCGTCGTGGCTTTCGTGGTGATCTTTGCCACGGGTGCCGTCGTGGTCGTTGCCTTCATGGGCGGCGTCGGAGCAGGCGTGGTCAGCTTTAACACCGGCTTCTTCGTGCGCGGCTTTTTGGTGACCGCGGCGGTTGGCTTTGCCGTCGTGGTTTTAATCCTCCCCCCGCCGCCCGCCGCGCCGGTGGGCGTCGCTTTCGCGCCGTCGGCGGTGGACGCCACCGCGACGGTCGGCTCGATGTACTCGGGACGGGCGGCGGTCGGCTGTATCGACTGTCCGACAGTGGCGGTGATCGTGTCGATCGCCGTCGGCTGAATCGGAAAGAGTATCGGGGTTGCGTAAACAGACGGCCGGACCTTACTCGGGGTGACTGTCACAACCTGTGTGACAATGTGCCCGGGACCCGTGTAGCGGACTGGATCCTCCGTCACGTCCGTGGGACCAAATGTCGGCGACACGTGTGAAGGGACAATTCTTACCGGTGGCTCCACCGGCTCCGCTCGTGTGGTGGGGGGCACAAACACGAGAACTGGAGTTGGGGTCAAGTAAAGCTGCCGACGTGACCTCATGTTGACGACCGCTTTTTGGTTCGCGATGTGCCAACCTAAGACAGGATAACCAATCTTTTCCGCCATCGTACCTTCCTTTGCGGGTATTTCCACATTCGCAATGTTGGGAATGGTGGACTGGTTCAACGAGCACCCTAATTTCCAGGACAAGAGAGCTCCATTTTCGATCACCTTTTTGGCATTCCCTGGGCCAGCCATGAATGCAGACATATCAAAGAGCCTGTTGTTGATAACCGGCATTAATTTAATCTTATCAACGTCGACGTCGGAGAACGCCTCCATCTTCTTCAACAGCTGAAGTCGCTGGCCCGGGTTCATCTTCGTCAGGTCGGCGTCTATGATGATTGTTAAAACGGTGACGGCTTCCTCGGGACCACATCCTCCGTCCGCGCTGCCAGGAAAGGAGGGCAGCTTGTCGGTCACCCGACTGTTGGACTGCTCGGAGACAACGTGCAGTGGAAACATTTCTTTCCTGTGGACACCTCCGTTCGGGGAGGGATGCGAGACCGTGATGAAGTAAAGGCCAGTGTTGGCTTCAAGGGGAAGGCCGAACAGCGTGTTGAGTTCGGCGTTCCAAGACAACCAGTCGGGCAGAGATTTCTTCCCTTCTTCCGTCACCTGCAGGCATGCGGCGGCGGGGAAAAAAAAAAATAATAATGTGCAAAGATCGTTTCCGAAACTTTTTTTTACAATTCGAGCAGCGCACCTCGGGGAAGCGTTTAAATTTCTCTGCGCACCTTTCACGTAACCGCGGCGCACGGTGATAAAAAAACAAACCGCACGGCGGGCGCGCGGGGAGAATGTGGCGGCGCGCTGGTGAGCGGTGGGTCAGCGTGGGTCAGCGTGGGTCAGCGGTGGATTAGTGTGGGTCAGCGGTGGTCAGCAATGGTCAGCAGTGGTTAGCAGTGGGTCCGAGGTGGGTCAGTAGTGGGTCAGCGGTGGGTCAGCGGTGGGTCAGCGTGGGTCAGTAGTGGGTCAGCGTGGGTCAGTAGTGGGTCAGCGGTGGTCAGCAGTGGGTCCGAGGTGGGTCAGCGTGGGTCAGCATGGGTCAGTAGTTGGTCAGCGGTGGGTCAGTAGTGGGTCAGTGGTGGGTCAGCGTGGGTCAGCAGTGGGTCCAAGGTGGGTCAGCAGTGGTCAGCGGTGGTCAGCAATGGGTCAGCGTGGGTCAACATTCACGAGGTTTCTTATAGTCGTTGTTAAACTTTGCTTGGAACTTTGCACTGGACCGCCCATTGTTTGGCTTTTTGTGAACTATTATTTCGAATGCATCTCTCACAATCTTCCCCCCTTTATCCATTGCCGACATAATGTACTCATGTTGGAGAAACCAAACGAAATGTCTCGGACCGCATTCGTGAACACAAAGCAGACCTGAAACAAGGTAGGACCAACACCTCGGCCGTGGCAGATCACTGTTATAATTCAGTAGGTTCACATGACATTGACTTCTCCAAGACAGAGGTTCTTTGCAAGCCATCTGGCTACCATGAGAGATTCGTTCATGAGGCTATCCACATACACAAACACAGAGACAATTTCAACCGAGAAGATGGATTCTGGCTTAGCAATCATTGGAAGGATTTGATAAACCATTTCGGGTCTTAATTGATTGTTCACGCTTACGGTGGCTTTCAGACAGCATACATTATTTTTCGTCTCCCCCCTCCTCTTTTCCAAACATAGATGGACTCGTCCATCAGAACAAACTGTCAAATCTCTCTCCGTGGTGCTAACATTCAAAATAACCGCCACTTTTTCCAAATTTTCTTGTTGTGGTTTTCACACCTGATGATTGCTTGTCTTGCAGTCGAAACGTGAGAAATTTATTTTTTATATTTTTATTATTTTATTGTTTCCCTTCTACGTTACTTTACCGAAAGAACCAAGAATACAGGTGGACTTTGTAATATTTTTTCACGTATATATAAAAATATATATACTAAAAACTAAACTATTTCTATTTTACCAGGTAAGGTCCCACTGAGCAACATGCAGTTTTATTTTTAGAAGCGACCTGGCCACAAATGATAGCTCAACGAGAAGTGGCTTATCGTGTGGAAATTTATAGCAGGCAAATATTCTAAGCACGTGATGTTGATTATAAATGTGGAGGGAAAAACCAGAGGACCTGGAGAAAAATCCACGTGACAATGGGGAGAGAGAAACATGTAGAATCCAAATATACAGGCGTCAGGTTTGGAATCGAATCCACGACCTCCTGTACATCAGACGAGGTAGTTAACATCTCACCACTGTGGTGATTTTTGTTAATCTGCTCAATAAATCAGATTAACAATAATCTTATAAAGCCATATCTAAAAATACATTTAATAAAAGGCAAAAATCTATGGTATTGGCAATCTTATATAACTGAGCGGATGGAATCTATAGAGTGAGCGTACAAGTTAAATGTTGCGTTGAAAAGTTAAACGAACCGCAGATACATTAGTCACTGCTGCGTGCGTATTTGCCGCGAACGGGCGCCAATTCCTTCGCAGTGGAGATTAAAGATTTTAAAGATCCTGGTTGTAAATTCAAAATGAGTAGGCCATTGTGTGCTGGCATCGTGGTCCACAAACTTGCCAGATTTGACAAATTACTCGCAAATCACTCAACTGGAAAAGCACGCTGCAGTCACCGCCCTCACCGCCCCCCCCTCCCCCCCAAATGCTCATCAGCAGGCCAGCGCCAGCTCACCATTTTCCGCACAGGGGGACAGCTGCCACCGGGGCTTGCCCTTGCAATGTTTGACGCGAGCTTGCGACGCAAGGCGCTTCTGAGTCGCCAACGTATTGAAAATGCTACGGATATTACGACGTTATTATTATTGATTTATAGCTTTCGTGACTGCAGGGATTCATATTCTTGGTTCTTTCGGTAAAGTCACGTAGAAGGGAAACAATAGAATAATAAAAATATAAAACAATAAAATTCTCACGACGTTTCGACTGAAACAAAAGCAATCATCATCAGGTGTGAAAACCACAACAAGAACATTTTTAAAAAGTGCCGGGTTTTTTTTTACGTGAGCACCACGGAGAGAGATTTGACAGTTTGTTCAGATGGACGAGTCCATCTATGTTCTGAAAAGAGGAGGGGGTGGCTTTCAGACCGCATCCATTATTTTTTCGTCTCCCCCCTCCTCTTTTCCGAACATAGATGGACTCGTCCATCTGAACAAACTGTCAAATCGCTCTCCGTGGTGCTAACGTTAAAAATAAAACGCCACTTTATTCAAATTTTCTTGTTGTGGTTTTCACACCTGATGATGATTGCTTGTGTTGCAGTCGAAACGTCGTGAGAATTTTATTGTTTTATATTTTTATTATTTTATCGTTTCCCTTCGACGTGACTTTACCAAAAGAACCAAGAATATGTTATTATTATTATTAAGCGTATCATACTTACATTAGTGCAACGGCCAGGGTCACCATCGAGCGGGATCGGTAGCTGGAACGCGTGCCCCACGGTTGCCACGACGTCGGAGGCTTGCCACGGCCTCTTTTCTTCGTAAGCCGGGCGCGCGGACTCCGAGGCGGGGAAGCCGAAGTGCAGGGAGGCTTCGATGTGCGGCACGCCCTCCTGCCCAGCCAAGCGGCCGTGTTCATCGTCGTCGGCTGCGGCGTTGGAAAATCCGGGGCTCGCGCTGAGCATGGAGAGGACGAGCGGCAGCAGGAGGAGCACAATTTGGACGGGCGGGGAGCGAACGCACTGCCTCGGCAACTTGGGGGATTTTACATTCGTCACTGGAAGGTGTGTGTGATGGCACATGGCAGATTTTAAAATGGGTTTTTTTGTTAAAATTTCACGTACACAAAAGATATATTTTTTAAAAACGTAACGTGAATGGGTTGCTCTGGCCAATGGGCGTCAGATAACTCTGCCGCGGTTCCTCGAGCTTGCAAAAGATCCTGTGAAAGAGAAGAGAACAGACACACTGGGTTTTCAAGACGCGCCCCGAGCACATCCACGAGGGTGACATTTCAAAAAGGTTCTTCGTCGATTTTGGCAAAGCGCCATTGCGTGCGTATAATTTAGCATGACGCATCGAACAAATGTAGTGAACTTTAGTTGAAGTGAATAATCAATCATATACGTTTACAAAAAGAATATTCCAATGACACTTGTGTGCTACCAAGACCAATGGAGTGACACTGCAGCTTAAGCACGAATACGCAGAAGCTGCTGTATGACACGAGCCATGAACCTCATTTCCATGACCGTCACGTGTGGCCAAGAGCTGAGCGCCACGCGCCACGATCGTGAACGACAGGACCCGTCGCGGTCACGTTTTTTGTGGCCAAGAAGCAAAGTCTCCCTGCTGACATCGACGCGCATATGACGGTCATGCCAAGGCTTGGGTTTTAATTAATTTATTTTTTAAAACTTTTTTTCGTCCTTTCCCCCCCCCGCAGATTTATTCCATTTGTGCTCTTGGCACCGTGTCCACGAGAGGAAGGATCCATTCGGAAATTTCGGAACGGCAAGGCACCACCCCAAACATCGATTAAAAACCCGTTTCCTTTTTTACTCCTTTCCACATTTGGGGTTTGGGCTTTCGCCGCGCACTCTGCTAGAGGATTAAGTGAAATCTAGTGAAATATTTCATTTTAATATTTCTCATTCTCTGTCGTCACCGGTGACTTATAAAGGCCGATGCCCACGCTAGACTTGAGAAGCCAGTTTAATAATCGCCCGTGTGCCTGCCTGGATTCGAACACAGGAACCCGGCAGTGCCGGTTCATCGCTCCGCTAAGTTCCGCTGAAAGCCACCCCCGAGGGTTTTTATTTTTTACGCTAAACGTTGGGTACCGGCATAAGAGCGTCAAACGCACGAGTCGACAACGTGACACCAATCAGCATCATCTCCATAAGAGGTTTGGGGTTAGGTCACATAAATAGATGCGTCCTTAAACCCAGTCACCACGCGACACAGCCAATTCGTAAGGTTTGTCACGTAAACAAAACGTGCCAATTCGTTACTTAGTTCAGCATACCGGTGGTGTATTGGAGAGTTAAACTCGCAACATTTACAATTCATCATCTATTACAAAGTTAATGGTTGCGGGGCCTTTGGGCCAGTGCTTGACAACTCTTGTTCAGAGAGAGGCTCACGCTCATTAAAAAAATGGTACAGGGAAAAAAAAACTGTGACGAGAATCTGTACAGAGCACAAACACCGGGGAATTGAATGATGCATTTTACGGAGGTAAAGGCACCTCTGATTAGCACGGTTGGCTCCGTACGGTGCGAAAGAAGTGTAACATACATGCACACGTATAAAAGGCATATTCACTGTGTGAGTTCTAACGCCAAGTTCTGTGTGAGAAAACAGATTTTGAGCAGAAACGGAACAAAAGTGCAACGTAAAAAAATACAGGTGTAGAATGCGAATGAGTTTCGATTGATGATCCAGCACTAATTCACCATTGGCCAGTCGCCTCCTTGTCACTCTACAACCACTACTACCATGGTTACTGTTTTCGTTGAGGGCTCAGACTACCAGACACGGGCTGTGTCGTCTCATCCTGCACATTGTGTTCAACCACCACCACACCGCATGTTACAACAACTCACTCACCCAACCCACCACTCACCCACTCACCACACTGTAGGTTACAACAACTCACCCACTTACCCAATCACCACTCACCCACTCACTCACCACTCACCCACTCACCACACCGCAGGTCACAACAACTCACTCACCCACCCACTCACCACAGCGCAGGTCACAACAACTCACTCACCCACTGACCCACTCATTCAGTCACTCGCCCACTCACCTACCCACTCACCCACCCACTCACCACACCGCAGGTCACAACAACTCACTCACCCACCCACCACTCACCAAACTGCAGGTCACAACAACTCACCCACACACCCACCCACCACTCACCAAACTGCAGGTCACAACAACTCACTCACGCACCCACCCACCCACTCACCAAACTGCAGGTCACAACAACTCACTCACGCACCCACCCACTCACTCACCAAACTGCAGGTCACAACAACTCACCCACACACCCACCCACCACTCACCAAACTGCAGGTCACAACAACTCACCCACACACCCACCCACCCACTCACCACACTGCAGGTCACAACAACTCACCCACACACCCACCCACCCACTCACCACGCTGCAGGTCACACCACTTCTCTTTCTGCCTCTCCCCCTGCCCGCCCCCCCACCCCGGCACGGCTCAGCTTTGGAATTCCCTCCCATCGTCTCTTTTCCCCCAAACTCTTACTAATAATAACCCCCCGCTCCATTCAAGAGACGTATCAACTCTCGTCTTACCCATCACAACATTCCTGAACAAGCGCTGCTTATTTTGCCCGTCGCATCGCCATCTCGCGTCTTCGGGCCTTCGCTCGGCAACCCCTTTGATAATAACCGAGGTGAGGGGGGAGGGGTGTGGGGGAAATAAAAAAAAACCGAGCGGATCGTAGTTTACTTGGGCCCGTCCATTGCGCACAAAGCGAGCGCTCATTTGCATGCCCGTCGTGAAACCGCTAGAGTGCCCGCGGCTCCGGAATGGGCAAGCGAATGGGGCCACGCGCAGGCCAAGTTATCTGCGGCCACAATGAGCGACGCTGAAGAAGAAGGGGAGGGGGCAGGAGTGTGAAGCGAGATGCAAACGCACAAACGGCACCGAGATTACAGGAGGTAACAAAGACAAAAAGTCGAACGCCGACGCAGCAGCCTTAAACACAAAAAAAAAGGGAAAATCACGTCCGCGAGTTGACGCGTATCAGGGGCGATGGAAAACTTCGTCTCAGCGCGCGAGGAACGCATGCGTCGAACGTAAACAGAATTGCCAGAAAGCGTTTTAAAACCATGAAGGAGAAGAGGACGAGGGAACGAAACTCTTGAACGTGGCACGAAAATCAAATCATCGCACAACGAGGGTTTGCGGATCACCGCATGAATGTTACGAAACTCCCTTCCCATTGGCCGTCGGGAAGTGCCCTACCACGGCTCGCCAGGAGAAAGGCGGCACAGCAAAAGTGCGAACTAATCCCGTCTGTCCCTTCTGCGTGGGATCGAGCGCTGCCCCCTCGCACATGTGGGGTTTCTCCGGGTGCTCGGGGGTTTCCACCCAACACGCAGCACAAACACCGATTCATTGGCCGGAAACATCCGAATGCATAGAGGGGGGCGCAGATTTTGGGCCACCGTTGGTAGCGTTGGCTCCTCACCGCCTGTAGGCTGGCTGCTGCTGCCTTCCAGCTTCGTGGTTCCTCGGTGATTGTGAGAGATGATTTTTGCATGAACGATGACGCTACATATAGATAAAAATGAAAAGCATAATAAGTAATGGGAAGGCAGCAAAACTAAATGTAATGGCTGTACAATTACAATGTGTGGCCCCCCCTAGAGCAAAATAACACATTACAGAGTGAGAGAAGCATAAAACTAGTGGATAAATTGTACGCAGATTTCTACAGCAGAGAATATTCATATATATGTACCCCACTAAACAAATTATTTGTTTCAGGTGAGGAGCAGGCTGAATATGTATGTCACATGAAAAGGTAACCGCTGCCATTATATCAACCAATGCTTCTGAACTGCAGAAAATTGTGCAGAAGTTAAGAAAGCAGGATGCTAAGTTAGGCAATGGATCCAAATGACGGACACATAAAGCATGCACAACAATGAGTCCAGCCGTTTTGTTTGGGTTAGGCCACTCAAGTGGTTTCATGCCAAGAATTATTGTCAGTAACCCTCATCGCCACCCGACAAGATTGTCACGTTTACACAGATATTATTTGTACGTAACGTGGCCGATATATCGATCAAAATTCTGACCGACACAGCTCCTTCCCCTTAACTGGCGGCTTAAGAATTGTCACGATTGAAATATAACTTAGAAGATCGATGCTTTAATTATTTATCCAGGAAAGCCATAACCTTGTCCGGTAACGTTTTTTCAGCAGGGTCCTGCCACAGTGAGGCTTTTCAAAAGGGCCCCCCACCCCCCCGCAGATAGAACTGCCCCACCCGAGCTTTTAACGCTTGTATATTTGCATCGCCTTTGTGCCGTGTCGCCTTTTGGAGTTGTTCTCTGGTCTAACGCCGGTGAGACGAGGCCACGAGGAAGGACACTGTGTCTGGTGTGTAGGCAAATGAGTTTCAAGGACAATCCATACATTATCATCAAAGAACGTTTGCTGGCACGTTTGACCGCAAGTACGTGTGGTTATTGGCGACTTGATACCTTGAAGTAGGTATCTACGTTGATGTCTGAATATCTTGTTAACACCTCCTACATACCTGTCAACCCCTTATCAGTGCTGCCTACCTTATTACAGATAAATTCAGACCTTATTGGTCACCCCGTGCCCCTTATAAATCTCGGGGTTCATCCTAAAAAGTCCCATCGCAAGGGGGAAACACAAACAAATAGACAAACATTTTTTTTTGCCCCGTATTGAAACGGCTGTACGTCGTATGGACCTGAAAACTCAATTTCCCTGTACAAGGATACGGGGTAAACCGTATGGGTTGACGGCTATTCCTCCTATATTGTTGGTGTAAAGGCTATTCTGTTTTCAGCCATTGAGTGAGTCACACGTGTAGGAGGAAACCGCTGTACCTGGATGAAACCCACACATACGAGTGGCCAACACTCTATCCCCGTACAGATGGAAACAAATGAAAATCGGTCCAATTGCTGTACTGCCTTCTCCTGGCAAGCCAGGGCATGGCACCTCTAAAGTTACAAGTTTTTTTTTATTTGACCAGGTAAGGCCCACTGAGCTTTATAGTTCCTTTTCATAAGCGACCTGGCCACAAATTATAGCTCAACGAAGATTAAAATTTTACGTTATCATGTGGAAATTTACAGCAGCCAAATACTCGAAATGCATGTTTCTGAATGTGGAGGACCCGGAGGAAAATCCACGCGACCACGGGGAAAAAAATGCAAACTCCAAATAAGCAGCAGGGGTCACAGGGTCTGGATTTAAACCCACGATTTCCTGCACACCAGGCAAGGTAGCTAACATCTCGCCACCACGGCACAACTGAAAAAGAAAATAATTGGTGGGGCGTAAGTGGGAAGAGCAACTGGAGTAATGTACGCATCTCTGGGGAGATTATTGACAGTGGACAGGGACCAAATACTGCAGTGAAGAAGTGTGAGCAGCTTGGAGTGCTTTTGGAAAATATTATTTCAGCGTGAAATATAAAATGCCACCAATGTGCCAAAAGGGGATTTTTTTTGTCGTTGTAAATGAGGCCTTACTAAACTGTCATGCCGTATATTCTTTGGGTCTTTCGATAAAGCCACGTAGATAGAAAAATAATCGTAAAAAATTTTAAATATCACGACGGTTCGATCGCAACACAAGCGATTGGCATCGGGTGAAAAAATATAGCGGGAGAGCTGGCTGAGGCATGACTGAAGATTTGAAATGCTGACATTGATGAAAAGAACGTGGAACTAAAGCTGAAAAGTACATAGAGACGTGGAGAGACGTAGTCCATAAATTATACCGAGAGACACGAGGAACGCGCGTATCCGGAGGGCAAATACAAACCAGACGTTGCAGTGGCTGTTGAGTGAGGCAAGGAGAGGAGGTTACCGCGGTAGAGGTCGATGACAGACAGATAAGCCTCCCGGTGGAGTGGTAGCCAGGGGAGGGAACTCATCCTAAAGGTATGGACCACAGGAAGAGAGACGGAGCGATGAGATTAGCTCACGTGTGGCAGCGTGATGGACTGTGGTGAAAGTGGGGAGTGCCAGCGACCTGCGGGAGACATTTACCAGCAGTGGTTTGAACACGGTTGACGATGACGACGACGACGACGATGAATAAACCAATGGCATAGTTCACAAACATCCTGAATCGGGTTAACATTCGGACACAGGTTCAATCAGCAACAGCTGCATCAGGAAAGCACTTCGCTAAACAATGGCATGCCCCCCTTCGACAGACGACCCTCAACCCAACCGACCTAAAAAAAAACCACCAGAGTCTAGGGCCCAGGGCGGCTCCGTGCGTGCTGACTGCATGACGCAGCTACCGCAGACTCATCTGCATGAGGAACCCATCCACGGGTAGGATAGGCCAAGTATAGATCAAGTAGCAGCACACCCATCTCAACATACGAAGGTGACAACGTATCTGCGTGTCACAAGCATGCATGAGCAACAGATTGGCTGTTGTTGGGAATGGCCAAAGCTTTGGGTCGAGTGACAAACTCGGAAGCTTCCACCCTGTCTTCTGCTGCTAATTTAAAGGCGCCACGGCCTCTCGGACACATATATATAGACCTCCACGGAAGTCTGAGCGAGCCGTTAGTTGGCCACCCAGATATAGGAACTCCTCCACCCTCTCAATAATCCCTTCATAAATCGTGGGACGTGACGGGGGATAGAAGGTTCATTGGCGTCGCGCATCCCGACAAATGCTCGGTTGAATAAAAAAAAAGGAAGCCGACGATTATTGCCCCCCACACATTCAGGGGCCAACAGCGGTGACCCCCACAAAAAAAAAAACGGGGCTAAAAGAGACCCACGTGCCGAGACTTCCATGAGAAGTGTGGTAACGACAAATGGCGAGGGACATGGCAGGGAGGGAGGGAGGTAGGGGAAGTGTGCAGAGAAGCAGTTGAAGTTTAGTTTGAAGTTTATTTCGTCAAACCAGGCGAGAACCCAAGAGGCCGGGGACGGGTCTTTTGCGAGAGTGACATGGGGCATCAGTCTGCCAATGAGGGGGGCGGGCGCCGCTCGCTGTGCACAATCCCAATTGAGTAATCCGTATGAGTAGTAGACTCTGCTGATGCGTCATCTCATACGTGGAGACACACACACACAGGGGAGAGAGTCTGCGTGTACACCACGAGACGCTCAGCCGGCCCACCAAGTTTGTTGACTGAATCGTCTCTAACTTGCAGCGCTTGTTGACGCAACGGATAAAGCGAAACTCCAAGGCACGTGGTTTTTTTGACGTGACAAAATAACGGCGGATTTAAGTGACATTTCACAGTGCATAAAACAAACGCCCGTTCACACAAAATGAGAAAAAATAACAACCTTGCATCATCGGTAAGAAATACGTGAACCATGTTGTCAAACGAGTACGCTTTGGCGCGAGTGACGCCTGCTTGTGGTACAAACATAAAATGGTGTAAGCGTGGAACGTAAAACGTTGCAAATAAAACACAGTGCAACATCTGTAAGTCTGCCAGAAACAGCCTTCATGAAATAGAATTGAAACTCTAAAAAATCCATGATTCATAAAATACACACCCCCTCCTTGGCGTCCGTGCGAAGCTCTAAGTCACGAAATTTTACCGAAATTTAGAATTTGGAATATTAAGCTATGAAACTATAAACTATTTTTGATTTGACTGGGTATAGCCTACTGAGCTACATCACTGTTTTTCAAAAGCGAACTGGCCACAAATGATAGCTCAAATGATAGCGCGGCAATTTATCGCAGCCAAATACTCGAAACGCATGATGCCGATTCTAAATGTGGAGGAACAAACCAGAGGACCCGGAGAAAAATCCACGCGAACACGAGGAGAGAGAAGCACGCAAATACACAGCAGGTGTCAGAGTCGGGATCGAACCCACGAACCTCCTGCATACCAGGCGAGGTAGTTAACATCTCGCCACCGTTATTTGGAGGCAATTCAGCCTGCAAAGAGTTCAATGTCACGATGCTTGGTAGACATGTTCCTTCCTTGTGGCCAATGGGCAAAGGGGCAGGGGTGTAATACGATGATGATGATGGCATTTTCGTAAATGTCACAATACAATGTAATGATTGCTTTCCACGTTGTGTAAGGCACGCGCTTGTGTAAAGACGTGCGCGCAAGAGAATGCGAACGATGCTGGAGTGCGGACATCTTGACCAAAACGACCTCATCTTTTTTGGGAGGGGGGGGGGGGGTTTCTCTCACCCCTCTAAAAGGATCCTCTTCTAAAATGGGGGCCGCACGATGACACCCACTGAACTCATTCGGAGAGAGAGAAGGCCAAGACGAGAGCGGGAAATCCACGCACACCCCGACGTCAGGAAATGGTTGGGGAAGTTGGACTCGGAATGGTGAGAGGTAAAATTTCAGAATACGTGGATTACGCCGACATTTCTTTTATCGTAATAATTTACAGCCCTCTGTCAGTCCACTGCTGGATGAAAACCCGTGATATTTGACCACGCTGGTCGAATGGCATGGGAGGGGGGGGGGGGGGGCGTGGGAGGGTGGTAGGCGGGGGGAGGGGGAAGCCGGTTCAGGTATCGCCCGCCACTGATGTTAGCCATGGCCGGAATCCAAATTCGGATTCTCTAGCTTCAAAGTGCAGTGTGCTAAACCCTGCACCACCGCTTCGCCCACATGAAATGGCAATCTACCCATGGTTCATACCACATGGAACCCGCGGGTTAAAACTTGGCGGGATATCCATAGGGTGGGCATCAATAAAGGCTTAAGAACGGTGAACACGAATACGTACGATTCACAACCCGTTTCTTTCGGGTTAAATCGTGTAGGATTCATGTGAAGTGGAGCTTTGCTCCGTCCACCACCTGACACAGGCTAGTTGCCACGTGGACAAATGCGCCGATTGTTCTTTCGGGAAAAAAAAACGCTTAAGTTGAAGAGCAAGCAAAATTGTCAATGTTGTACGACGCTTCGCCGGTGACTACAATCGGCATCATCAAGTATTAGCGAGAGCTGGAGCGTGGTGGTGGTAGTGGGTGGTGTCTATGCACATGGACAGTAATCCAGCACTTGAAAAATTCCCTTCCCGGGGGGCGTCGCCAGGGGAACGCAGTACAGCAAATGTGCAGACTCCACCTGTTCCATCTGGAGGGATGTTATTGCCCCCTTGACCCACGTGGGTTTTCCCAGTGTGCTCCAGTTTCTTCCCACATGCAGACACTAATGTGGGAAGAAACTGACACCTTAATATATATAGAGGACAGCAGAACATGGGCAATTGTTGGCACCGGCTCGTCGCATCACTGCCCTTCCTGCTCGTCTGTGGTTTCTGGTTGCTCCTCCGAGACGTTCTCTCGCCACAAGAGCCTACGTATAAATGAGAATGTGTCTATGTATGTGTCGACTCAACCTCAAATGAGACAAAGGCGGTCGGGCGTGGTGCTGGCCACCCACCCCTTCGTGTGCCGTGCCGGCCTTTATAGGTGCTCGCTAACAGCACTTGCCCCTACAAGTCTGTTCAGGCTATACGGGGGAACTTTGTTGAATGTGTGCGGACGCTTACCGTTGCCCAGCTATCAGAGTTGAAGATACGATGTTTGGAGTCGAACGGATGAGCGGTGGACCCAGCTTCCACAGGACACAGATTGTGTATCAGCAGCCTGCGACAAAAAAAAGTAATGTTAATTTAAAAACCCACTAGAAGAAAATGATAAAAACTAACTACCAGAGCACGTCACTTCTCAAGAGGACAGAAATGGTTCTGGAACGATTCATCCTTGATTTTCGGAGGTGCAACTGCCTGCTGATGCTGGTTGTAATGACCAGCGGAACATCGAACTCAATCGTTAAATGTGTGTGGATGGCTCTCCAACAACACACCGGTGTGCTAAAGCGTGAATAAATCGCCCACGTTTGTTCCTCACGTGACAACCGTATTAACTGAATGTGTCGGGCGGAGGAGGGTGCACAACACACATTTTTGCTCACGCGATCACGCCCACAAATCAACCGCGAATCACAACAGGTCGCTAAAGTCTACATGTTAAAGATCCGAAAGCAATCATTTACGGCACTTTTTCTTGTCAGCACACCGCAGGATTAATGCTCTCCTTACGCGCCGCGCCATCTGTCATCAAGACATTATTTTAGCATACTTCACCACACCGGCCAAGTGAAGAAATTGCCAGGCATCAATTCGCCAGGCAAACGGGAGAGAGGTTTAAGGAGTCCTACGTCAGTTCTCAAAGGATTGGTCCCGTGCCGACGATCTACGCTTTATCTGCTCTGCTGCAGGTACAGGACATTCCATATAAGATTCACATTTAGCATCTGTCAGTCCTAAGATAACATCAAGTACTTCGGTAATTGTCTTTGTACGGGTGCGCCGAGGAGGGACTAGGAAACGACAAACCGACAGGATTTGAAGTTTTCGTGGTTCTTTTGGCAAAGTCACGTAGATGAAAAATGAAATTAATGAAAATAATACAATGAAAATAACTAAATTAAATCACGACGTTTCGGGCGCAACACAAGCGTCCGTCATCAGGTGGGAAAGCGATGGTCTGCTGCTGATGCAGACTGTTTTAAAAGGTTTGAAATGGGTGTAGCCCAAGGGTCATAAAGAAGTGGCTGGGTCTAGTGATGTTAATGTGAGAAATTAGCATGTAACTGGTTATGGAAGTGGCTATGTTAAAACAGTCTGCATCAACAGCAGACCACGGCTTTCCCACCTGATGACGGACGCTTGTGTAGCACCCGAAACGTCGTGATTTAATTTAGTTATTTTCATTTTATTATTTTCATTATTATTATTTTTCATTTACGTGACTTTACCGAAAGAACCAAAGAGTATGAAACCTACGGGAATGAATGCGGCACACGTGAGCGCACCTTACAATCTTTTTTTTACCTTGGTCGCAAAAAGCCAGCGGACAAATTCGAATTAACAATGATCGGTGCACGGCCTGATTGGATAAGATGTGGCGCTGCACTTTTTTGTGCCTTTACGGCAACTGGAAGATGCCCGCTTCATGGATGGATGGCGAGCGTCTGGTGAGGGTCCGGGGGCTGTCCGGTGAGTTGGCGAGGGGGCCAAGTTGAGTGTCGGTGAGGCCAAAGCATACCTAGCATCTGGTATCAAGTGAGCGTGGCGAGTGTTTGGTGAGCGTCAAATGAGTGTCAGGCCAGCGGCGTCGAGCGAGTAGTGTCCCGGGTTGAGTGCTGAGGAGATTACGCCAATGGGGGAAGGGGCAGGCTTGGAGTATGATGATGATGATGGCCTTTTTGGAATTGTAATATAACAATGTAATCTAAGTGGTGTCGAGTATATGCTTGTATTAAGATGTGTGCACAAGAGGTTACAGCAACAATGGAGGGCAGAGGAGCGACGCTCGCAACAACGAGCGGAGAGCCGGGCGGATAAAATACCGCAGGTTGGTACAGTAGGGGGCACAGCTGGTGTGCATCTACCGGTCATCTCAGTCAGCCAAACCATGGCACCTGGGTCTATCCCGAGACCTCCTGTCAGCGAGCCTTCGACACTTCACGTGGCCTCAAAGTGCACCCGGCCTGGCACAAGCGCCATGGTGACGTCACCATCACTTAGTGGCGAATGGCGGGTATTTTGGTCTTGGCACAAGAGGTTAATACTGGAATGTGGATGTCTCAACAAAACAGCGATTGCTGTGGTGGAAAAAAAAAAAAACCTTCACTCTCGTGGACGGGCTTGTGGACACGGGGCGGTCAAGTGGGAATTTATTACTTAACGCTGGACGGTGCGTCACCTTCATGTTTCCCGATTCGCGACAAGCACCGTTACGCCAACGAGCACTGCCACAATAGTGCGCACGGAGAAAAATTGGGTTACGGCATTGGCAGCGGTGCGCAGGTACGAACGTGTTACACAGTCTCGCCGCAAACGCACGTGCGGTTTCCCTCGTCGACAGGAGAGGGCCCTTTGATGCTATCGGTGTATTTCGAGACTTGCGATGTCATTACAAGCGTGAATGTACTTCGGGGGAAGAGGTTAAATGTGTGAATAAATTATTTCATGAAATGCAATGCAGTTCCCTTTGTGCCGAGTGATTATTCATTTGCCGCGACAGACATCCCCGCGTGAATATTTTCCGAGATAACCGAATGTGTAACACTTAAATATGGCATCGTGCGTGCACATGCCTCAGACTGTGTTTAATATTTTGTCGTTAAGCCAAGTAATATTAAGCACGGAGTATTCATTAACTTCCGTCGGCCGAGCTATAAAGAGACGGCCTAAAGACCATAGCTTATTAGCTCTTACTGGATAAGCATGCGGCTGGGATAGATGTTGGTTAAGTTGTCGTTTTCGTCGCATCAGCACGCTCGCCGTAAAGCCAGTGCGGTATTTGTGTTTGCGGATTAGCATGCTCCAAGCTAGTTGCTTAGCCGCATAATTTTAAGGTTAGTTCACCAGCCCGTTATTTCGAGGTCAAATCTGTTGTGTTGCTTTCAAATAAATAAATTAACTTGAAAACTTGAAACTTGTTGTATTGCTGCACTTTGAAGAAAGAGCCAGCATAATTTGACGCTGCCTTCCAGCGTAAATTCCTCTTTGCATTATTTTTAAACACCGCTGCACAACTAATAACCAAGGTTATTAAGGGTCAAGCCCTCCAGCGTGCCTTCTGCCAGAGACAACTGTTGCAGAGACCACTTCCCACTCTGGAAGTAAATTCAAAAATCATTTGCACGACACAAATCCCAAATTTTGATTTAAAGCTTTCGTGACTGCAGTAATTCATATTCTTGGTTCTTTCGGTAAAGTCACATTGAAGGGAAACAATAAAATAATAAAGTAAATATATAAAACAATAAACGTCGTGAGAATTGTTATTGTTTTATATATATTTTATTATTTTATTGTTTCCCTTCAACGTGACTTTACCGAAAGAACCAAGAATATGACACAAATCCTCTTCAGTGGTACACTCAGCTGCCCCCCCCCCCCTACACAACTGCCTGGCTCAACCCCCTCAATGGAAGTATTCTCGCTCCTGCTCTGCATCAACATCGGCCGTACGAAGCAGACGAAGTCTCTCGAGCAAGCGGACGAGTTACTACGAAGGTTGCACGACTGTACAAACTTGCAGCCCCAAGGGATTCCGAGCGCAAGCGAAAATTGAGCCTTCGCGCGAGACGACCGAGGGGGACGGCATCACGGACGGCAAAATCTTGCCGTCCGCGAGTCCAACCGGGGTTGCACGGCCTTCTGCGACTCAGTCGCAAAGCGCTAGCGTGTACGGCAAGGCAGGCGTCAACGAACCACGATTTCACACCACTACTGCGGAGCTTCGTAAGTTAAGGTTGCGCATCGCACCCGTGGTGTTCACTGTTTGGGCCTAGTTTGCATCTTGCATGAAACCCGTGCTATGAACTTTTATACATGCGCAGCAAAATACTAATTTGTTGAGTTTCCAATTGAAAAGGGTCATACTAGCATTGCAGATTATTATTTCAGCAACAGCTATTATTTGCTTATAAATTGACGAGGGCCAGGCCTCCAAACACCTACTACTCCCACCCCACACAATTCCAATGAACTCCACGTTTGAGTCTCTGAAACTGTACTTTCTTGTGTCCTTGAAATTCAGACGATGCAAGGTCTAACAGCCGTGGAAAGGCCTTCACTTCGTCCATTAATCACCCGTTATTTCCACTACGTGACACTTCATTAACGGTGGCCGGATGACAAATAGCAGGGGGCCTTGGCTCTGCCACTCTTGCGCCTCCCCAACCCCCCCCCCCCCCCCCCGGGATTGTCCGTCGGTTCGCGTGGCGGCGTTGCAAAGTTCACCCTTGCGAACTTCGCGTTACGCACGCACCGCCACTGCCGCCCGTCCCCCCGGTGACGTTACTTGGGGCTTGAGGTGGCACCGTTACGCGGTTTCTTGACGCGAGTTACGCGAGCGGACCGGCCGTGAACCCGGCCCCAACGTAGCCTTGCAGCGCGGGGAACGCACCGCGCCAAAAGGGTTTGTGACGGCCGACGGGCGAGACCCGGCGGATGGGACGGAAGGCCAGGGAGGGAGCACGCCGGAGGGGACGGTCACCATGGCGATGAGAATCGGCGTCACACGGCGGAGGTGGACTGTGGCGTCGGGAGGAGATGGCAACGGCACAGGGAGGCATTTATCCGGCAGGGGACGGGCCGTGGCCGATGACGGCGGTGAAGATGAGTGTCTGATGGATGCACAGGTGGCAGGGCAAAGGCGCCTGCAGTGGGGATAAATCGCGAGCTTGTCGGCTTGGGTCGGTATACAAGAGGAAACCCGCGGGTTTGTGCATCAGTGCGGCGGTCGACCTTTTTCAATTGCTCGCCGGACTTGTGAGACCCTGCGGACTCGGGTCGATTCACCGCACGATCGTCCTCGATACACGCGGCACGCCGATCTAAGACGATAAATGTCCTCGGCTCACTGGGGCTTCGTTTTCACGACCACGCCGATGGCCATCCCGCTGTAGCTCAACGTATGCACCGGTAGCGCCATAATGATGGGGCAGGGGGTTGCTGAGAGAGGGGCGATCGGTTCCACTTGTTGCTAAGCAACGGTCGAGAAGCCTCCCACACCCCCCCCCCCCTTCTTAAAATTAAATTCGGATAACTTTATTTAATACGGCGTTA